TTCATGCTGCTTGCAGACACTAATCCTGCTACCACATACAATATTGCTGATTCTGTGCAGCAACTATCAAAATTCATCAGATGTGCCTTGGGCTTCATACAAGCCTTAATGAGTACTTGGTTTGTTAATTGCATGTTTTATATTATGATAGGTTTAGTTAGCTGCATACAGTATTAATCTTTGTTTTTTAATATATTTATCCCTTTTATAATTTTTTAGATTTGTGTTTTTGTATAAGATATATATCATTTTGACTTTTATGTATTTTATTAAAAATATCTGTTTGTGTTTTACTCTTCCATGCTGGTCTATGACCACAACAAAGGTTTGATTGATACTTATCTTTCTCTTGTCATTCAAGGTTGCCAAGATGTTATATTTTTAAGCAGATTTGTCATAAATATCATGACTTTTAGTTTGTTTAGTTTATTAACAAAAATAATAATAATCCACAAATAAGCATGCAATCTTTTCAGAGAATTTGGAATATTCCACTTGAAGTCTTAATTCCCACTGAGTACATTGGGGCTTCTTTATTAAATATTTATTGGTTAGATTTGTATCTTCATAATTTTTCACCTTAGCAACCATTCTATGAATAGTCTCAGTTATTTCAGAATAATATTCTTTGGTGTATCAAGCTATTCCATTCCACATAAAAGCATTTTATTTCAACTTTTGTTTCCCCAGGGTTGTATCAATAATTCTTCCTGAAATACTTCTTCAGATGACTTTCAACTTTAGAGTAGAAGACAACAAATTCAAAGTAATCTCCCTTCCCTTGCATGTCCAAACAGATGATCTGATATTGCTCACCCACATGTAATTACTTAGATGTCTGTATTTCCTGGCATAAAAAAGTCTGTGAATCAGAAGAAAAAAATTAGCTGGAATAATTCTATCAAGAGGAGTCGGGAAAATAAATTTCAGAAATTGTATTTCTCTCTCCCTCTTTTTTTTTTACTACTTTGTAAATTTCTAAATCTGCTGATAAAAATACCAAATCCAGTTTAAACACCAGGCTGATAGCGTGACCAACCATAATAATACGCAAATGTTATTTTCGATTTTATTTTAGTGTCTTTTTATGTACATGAAAACTATATTTTGTAATTCATATCTATGGCTATATAGCAATATATACAGTACTTGAAAATAAATAATATTGAAAACAGCAGTGTTTACTTTTGAATAAACTACAAGTTTATACTTTACTATTTATTTTATTTTTATTTTATTCTTTACCTTTACTCTCAGGTGTTAATCTAATCATATAAAGCTATAAATGTCTCCCCTGTGCTTATATACATCAAGTGTTCTGCTGTGAAGAGTGTCTTACAAATAATCTTGTCAAAGTCAGTGAGAAAAATGTTGCAGAAATAAATTACTTCACTATCCTAATTACAGGTCACACCCAACTGCTGAAAGTTAAAAAAAATAATCTGAAAAGGTGATCTTTTTTCAGTTGCAAACGGCATTAGTGTCTCTAAGTATGGCAGTTACTTCATGTACATTTAGTGATAAGAGCTGTTTCATTAGATTGTAATCAGTTTTATTTTCTTTTTAAACTTGAGTTTGCAGGTAGATGAATAAGGTACAATTTTGGTTTTTAGTTTACAGTTGAGCTCTTACTCATTTCCTTTTGTAATAGATAAGATGAAGCTCCCAAATTAGAGAAAGACATGGTGAGAAATTGAAAGGATATTTAAATATAGAGCGAGGTAAAATCTTGTTTTTTTTTAAAGATAGGAGATTTAGCTAGGATAAATTCTGGATTTTTATATATTTGTTAATTGGGTAGATCACCAGGGATGATTTAAAGTAAAAAGTCATATGCAGAATATAATAACTTCTTTAAATATAAAGAAACAGTTACAGTCAGATTTGTTAAATTTAATTTCTGCCCATCTCACCCTGGGGCAACTCTGGGTGGCTTACAACAGCAAAATGGGAAAAACGATGAAAAATGTAAACATAACAAAAGCAAAGCAATGAAACAATAAAAACAATATGAAATCTAAAAAGTACAATATGAAATCTAAAAAGATGGGTGGAAGGGGAACAGGAAGTGCAGAGGGGAGGTGGGTTCAGCTAATGAGTCCAGTGACCACCTCCAGTGTGCTACTCCCCTGTTGGATCCTTAGGTCAACTGGCAGAGCCAGGTCTTCAAGCCCTTGTAGAAGAATAAAAGGGCAGGGGCAAACCTCACCGCAGGGGCTAGGAAGTTCCAGAGGGGCTATTGCTACAGTAGAGAAGGTTTTCCTTCTGGATCCTGGATCCGGAGTTCCTTGATTGACGGGATCTGCAGCAGGCTCCTCTGCTGGCAGGAGTAGAGTGGGCTTGTTTTAATGGGGGAAGATGCTTGAATTTTGAGGACCTATAACTTCAAACAGTTGCTGAACCAATTTGTAACAAGTTGTAACTCGAGGACTACTTGTATAACAAAAGCAGTATTATTTAATAATCTTTAGGTCATTTCAACAAATTACTACTGGTAATTTCATTGTTTTATCCTAATAACTTGGGTGATTTTAATGCACTTGGTTAATTTAATTGTCCCTGTAGTGATAGATAATAGGTTATTGTCTTGTTACCCCCCAAAAACCACTTTTATCCATTTTTTAAAATAATTTACTCAGGTTTGGGAAGTGCTGCCTTATAATCTTCCATGCAGCAGTGTAATTTAAGGATTTTATTTTTGAACAATTCGGCCTGAAAGCCTCGCTGAGGTACAGCAGCAAATAAGCCAAACAATTGCTTTTGGAGTCATAATAATCAAGAACATCTTGAAAAACACTAAAAGTTTGCTGTTGCGAATCAGCATGTTGCAAATAAGAGGGAGCAGTGATTTTGCTATCACCCCTCCTCGTTTCAACATAAATGGCAAAAATAGTTTTAATATAATTTTAGAGCCATGACAAAAAATTGGGGACCATAGCAGTCTGTCGCTTTCTAAAGTTGATATTTCAGAAGGTATTACCCTTACAGATGACGGGTCCCCAACCTCTGGACTATGGCCCACTGGTGGGCTGTGAGCTGTTTGTAACTGCTGTGGAAATGGCGAGCAGGTGCACACATTCCCACTTGCACGAGCAGTGGGTGAGCATGTGCACGCATGTTCTATTTGCATGAGCAGTGGGCATACATGAATGCTGTTTGTGCAAATGGAGCTGGTCTGCAAAGCTGGAAAGACTGAGTAACTCTGCCTTAGTTGACAAGTGGGAAACAGAAAGAGAAAATTGTAGGTCTGCATATTATTGACTTTGCCCTTAAAGAGTAGATCCCAAAAATATTGTCGTAGAATTTAATAAAATTTAATGATTATGTGCCATCAACTCAATGTCAACTGTGACAATGTGAACTTCATCTAGTGATCATATATAGATCACGGGTGTCAAACTCGATTACATCATGTGGCATATTGTGACGTCTCATGACAGTTTTTGCCTTTGCAGAGCCGAGGTGTGCGTGGCCTGCACATAACCAGTGGTGGGATTCAAAAAAATTTACCACTGGTTCGGTGGGCGTGGCTTGGGCGCACTTTGCACATATGCACACACTTTGCAACATGCACTTTGCACAGGCACAGAAGTGTTTGCACAGGCGCAGAGCCAGGGTGGGTGGGTTCCAACTCACCTCCTGCAAGCCTCACTCTCCCTGTTGCTTCAGCAGCTGCCTTGTGGCACTCTGCTATGCTGCACAAAGCAACTGCACTTCAAAAGCAGGAAATAAAAGTGAATATGGGAGCCAGGGTGGATGGGTGGGTCCAACAGCAGAGGGACGGGGAGAACAGGTTCGGTCTCTGCTGCTCATTGGCACCATCAGATTAGCAGAACCAGGCCAAACTGGCCCGAACTGGTAGAATACCACCACTACACATAACACATCTGGCCCACGGGCCCCCAGTTTGACATCCCTGATATAGATGAATGTGAATATTGGATGATATGGCCTTAACTTGATCTTCCAACCTTGCACCTGTTGTTGCTATAATTATAATTGCTGTAATTGTAATAATTCACCTTGCTGCTAGTTTTTCCCTTTTTCTCTTTTCTTCCATCTTTCCCAATACTACTGTCTATACTTCCTAAGAGAACTAGGTCTTTGTACAATGTGTTCAAATTAAGATAATTTGAGGCTGGTCATTTGTACTCAAGTGAGAACGGATTGAATTGTTATTTGATTTCGTACAATAGTATTGTGTTTTTATATATTGTATTTATAATAATGTTACTTTAATAGCAAATGCTATTTTGAATTACAATTTTAAGGATTCCTAGTTTTTACATATCAATCTGAGCACTTTCATTTGAACTTTGTCTGTCTTATATATTTTGACCCAAGTTTGTTCAGGAAGCAGTTATAAGCATGATGAGAAGTGGGTATAGAGAATTTGGTGCGCTCAGGGATATGATTCTCAGATAAAACAATATAGTACAGAAGTTTAAAGGATTTGTGCATGTCCTACCTGAAATAAATGCCCCAGATGTAAATGCTTCTGCTGATATATAGAATTAGCACAGGTTAGCACTTGACTTACAACCATTTGTTTAGTGACCATTTGAAGTTACAACAAGCACTGAAAAAAGTGACTTACGACAGTTTTTCATACTTTCAACTCTTGTAGCATACTTGTCATCACATGACCAAAATTCAAATGCTTGGCAACCGGTTCACATTTATAATGGTTGCAATGTCCCAGGGTCACCTTTTGCGATCTTCTGACAAGCAAAGTCAGTGGGGAAGCCAGTTGCACTTAGCTGTCTTACTACCTTAACAGCTGCAATGATTCACTTTACAACTGTGGTAAGAAAGGTTGTAAAATGGGCCAAAATTAATTTAACAAACATTTTGCTTAACAACATAAATTTTGTGGTCGTAAGTTGAGGACTACTTGTAGTTCATAATATGTATCAGTATCTCATAATATGTGGCTCCCAATTCAAGACCTGTGTCATTGTACGGTTTGTCAAGTGAATCATATACAATTTGTTTTGCAGACTTTAATAAAGTACAGAAAATCTGGAAGTGCTAAGCCAGAAACCCGGAGTGTGAACATTGGAAGGGAAAAACTATCAAAACAATACTTTTTATAAAAGGTATGGGTATATTTTGCCTTTCTGTTCTCGAATTTACCTGGAGAATATGATTTTCACTGAAATTTATAGCATGCTCTGTCTTGGGCACTTACCCATATATATATATATAGTCAAAATTATCATTTTATATCAGTAATGACATTTAAGAAAATTGCTTTTTTGACTTCTCCATACAGACATAAACTCAATACATATTTATCTTATACATTCTAATCCTTATCTTACTTTTATTTTCCCACAAAAATGCATGCCAACCTATCAAGAGGTCATGTCCTTCTAATGTTAAGATTCTCTTGTCTCTTAATTTAATTCAATCCTTAATC